TGAATTGAATACTTACTTCACCGCAGAGTGAGTAAAAGCTGATGCAGTTAGCAAATTCATTTCTGTGTTTACTTTCAATCACACTGAAAACAAATGTTTCTACCAAATTTAACAGAGGTCTTATAGAGTGGTCATATATCTGGCAGACAGAACCCGACAACATCAAGTTTGTGATCCAGGTGAAAGGACATGATCTGATATGTGTGTCTGATTCCAATGCCCAAGGGAAGACCAGGGTGCCCAGAGAGTAATTTTGAAGGTTATCCTGAGCTTGAAGCGCCCAGGAGAAGGCTGTCTGTAGAGGCACCATGACCAGGTGCTAAAGCATGTCAAAGCACCAATATGAACACCAATACAAACCAGCACCTCTGCTCACCAGAGAGCACACAGCTTTGATGAGAGCAGGTGAGCAACATAACCACAGTCCAGGATACTGATAGGCTTTCTTTCTACCGTGTCTGAATGGAAGTAGTAACACTATATGGGCAAGCAGCTCAGGTTCCCTAAAATGTCTTGCCTTTTTCACACTGTGCCAAGGCTATTGTCCTAACCCTAGAGGCAGGTAAACACTGTAGTTACTGTAGTGGTATCCTGGCCAAACCAGGACTTGAGAGGTACACAAGATCAGTACTAGACAGCACATGTGTCCCGCTGCATACCCACAAAGGTCGGACGGGGTTTGCAGTGCTTGCTCACTTTGCACTGCATTTACGTCAGCAGGCATCATGTCATACACCATCCAGCCAGGATTACATCCCAGATGTTGTGTCCCTGTCCCAGGGGACACCTGGACAGGTCGCCAGTCTATCACAGGGCTACATTTAGAGACAGACAACCAAGCACACTCACATTCACACCTACAGACAATTTAGAATCACCAATTAACCTCAGGATGAGAACCGGAGAGAACCCATGCTGCACGAGGAGAACATGCAAACTCCTAAAGGTAAACTTGATGAGACAAAATTAAACATGGATGAATCAAGCCTACAGCCAGAACCAATGATGAGAATCAAGCCAGTCTTGATGAATAGGAGGTCAATCTTTAGGGACGGACAAAAAATGTCCCCACAATGCATTTTATTTTACTGCAGTTATAACTCTTGCAAGTGTAACATTAAGAACCATAAACATCTGCAGAAGTTCTCTGCCACACACTGCTATTCTCATGACCATTCTCTTTAAACATTGCATATACATTTCATTTTGTCACCGTTACAAATGATTGTTTTCACTACCTCTATTAGGTTTGACCCATACACTGACCAATCCTGAGAATCCAGAATCTCAAGAATCCCACTGCACTGTGACGGTGTCATTTTTCCATCAAGCCCATCAATGCCAGGATGTGTTGTTTATACGCTGGTTCTTGGTGCATAGAAATACAGTATTTCTTTCATATCTCACAAAGTTCATAAATTAAAATCGACTCTCACTCTCATCCACAACAACAAAGTTTTTGCAGGGTTCAGTTTGTTGGAGGCAGCGCTTGTCATCCCTGGAAGGCATGGAGCTCCTCTTCATGGAAGCTTAGCTGCTTCAGCAACCTGAGAGATGAACAAAGTGGAGATGAGGTCCAGGTGAAAACTGCTCAGAGCAAACAAAGAACAAGACAAAGTTGATGGTTGCTTATGTCCTGTCAATGTCTTGTGATGTATCACAGCATGAGATACTGAATACTTGACTGTATACACTGTTAAAAGATTTTGGATGATCAATTATGTATTTTTGTATTGTATCAGTTCAACATATTCAGTCAAATTAAATTGTCAAAGTCTAAAATAGCTGTATAATTAAATATTTTTTTCCCATCATGTGTTCAGGGAAACAACAGGTGATCAGTTGCCATATTTATAATATACAGAGAACCTTCGTCCTTTTACAAAAGACATTTTAAGGGGTTTTCCAGTGTAAAACTTTGAACACCTGTCATTCTGTAGCGTGAAGATCAAATACCCAACAAAACTAACAATCGGGGCGTCCAGATAGCTCAACAGTTTGGGCGGGCGACTCATGTACAGGGCTATAGTCCCTGTAGCGGTTGCGGTTCGATTCCAGCCAGCGGCTCATTTGCTGCATGTCCTTTGCCCACTCTTCTCCCCATGTTTCTCTGTCACTCTTTCACTGTCCTATATTACAGGCAGAAAAGCCCAAAAAATATCTTTAATAAATAAATAAAACTTAACACTCACCAAAAGACCTTTCTGAGTGTAGAGCTTTAAGATTGCAGACACTCTCTTTCTGCATATTTACCATGGGTATATACAAATTGAAAACTTGACTTAAAGATGGCACTAACGTAAATGAAAATTTTTCACACAGTTTTTCACCTGCCTGACCACCATCTGTGTTGTGCAGCCCACTGCCCATGTATCAACCCATAGACTGAGAGGATGTTTTTTTGCTCCAGTATTGTAGCTGGCACCTGCAACAAAGTACTAGCTAGGGTGAATGGCAGCACCAAGTCCAGTTTTCTTATTAAACACTTTGAGCAACTTTCATTTAACAGAATGGGGCACCAGCTTGGAACACAACTTCCAGTTTTTTTAATACAATCTTTGAAATGACAGACTGACTTTCTCTAGTAATCTGGATCTTTTCCAATGCACCATATTCTCAAAGTACATAGCACAGTCAGGTAAAGGATGTATAATAAAGATTAAAGTACGTACCCTGTTGTTAGTTCTGTGAAGGCTGTGGGACCACACACACACACGTAGCATTTGGACCCATCTGGCCTGATGAGGAACTCGTTAAGCATCGACTCATCCACACGACCTTTCCTGCCAGTCCAGCTTTCACTAGGCTCAGACAGAACATACTCCACCTGAAACCTGACATACAATGCAACAACATATTGTGTAAAAATGTACAAAGACAGTGAGCGACAGATTAAGCAGAAGAGCTTGCAGCTGCATTTCTATAAAAGCAGATGTGTCAAATCAAAAAACTGCTGCCATTGAATGTGTATACTGAACGTGTCTATTATGTCTGAAAAAGACTACATAACGCAAGTACTGTCAATTGTGATCTAGAAGTATGTTCAAATTAAAAAAAAAAAAAAAAAGCGTGGTTCCTTCCCACGGTTGCCAACCACTTGTTCAGAGGGAGTCCAAAGGCTACTGAACTAAAGTGAAACTCAACCACTGCACAGACGTTTGCTTACAAGGAACATAAATTATAAAATGATGCTTGAAAGCTTAATAGTTCCATCCTTCTTGAATTTTACTCAACTGGTCAACGTTTTCTTCCAGCTTTATTCATCTGCTGCTTTTTCATGTTGAGCAGTGAGACACTACTGCTCATGGTCCTCGGGTTACCGTAATCAGTGCCTGGATGCTGGATATCTACAGTTCTGCCATTCTGAGATTCAGCTACAGATATGCTCCTCTCACACCAGTGGCTAAGTCCATGGAATCGTCAAACCTGCTTACTGCCCATGGTTTACATAGATGGAGTTAAAATTGTCAATGATTACTATATGCTTGCAGCTGAGCTCTAGTTAATAAATGATATTATACCATTTACTATAAAGCATGCTTTTCATAAATTTAAATCTCTAGCAACCACAGTTCCGAATGTTATCGTTAATGTCCTGGACCTCCAGCATCTATGGCATCTACTGTTCCAACACCAACTAAGCTACAATAGAAAGACAAATATTGTCATACATTTTTACAATTTTGGAATCAACTCACACAACACAACCTAGTTTATTTCATTTATAATAAACAATATTTAGAAGCTGGTTTGTGGCAGAGACAAAAAGTATAATGCATAATTATAATAATAATAATAACTGAATTTCCCTTCTGGGATAAATAAAGTATTTTTAATTTCATTTCATAAAACACAACCGTACAGCTGCAGTACCTTTCGTTATTAGCAGCCAGTTCATCCAGTTCACAGCGCCACAGTATGTCCTCCTCCCGGCGGTTAAAAAAGAGCAGTTTGGTGATTCTAAGAATATACAAACATGTAATGGGTTATTTTGCATAGTCGAGTGTTTTGATCAGTGACACCAGCAGTAAAATGAAAAACACCATGTCTATTTTTTTCAGAACTGTACTATGGAACAACATTGTTGATGACAAACAAACTGAGAGTTTGTAAGTTTTACACATAGAAAAACATTTTGTTGTTCAGGTTTGACAACGATGTTGCAACTACAGCTGTCATTACATGTTAAATGAAAACAATTACGTTGCCATTAAAAAAACTTTTAAATTAGCTTTTTCACAAAAAAGGAAGTGTCTCACTTCAGTCCTGAACTTAGCGAAATTAAAATAAAAAAACAGAGAGATAATACTTGGAGTGATATTACCATAAGTCTAGAAAAGACAAAAACACCTGAATTTACAAATATACAACCCTCCGACCACAGCTCTTCCAGCTCTCCTTCCTGTTCTAAGCCCCTCCCATCAAAAGAACAAAGACAGTCTAGCTAAAAGTCAACATCCATTTGCGGCTTCACCCAAGACCTGTTCATTGACTAAGCGAAAGGCCTCCATCTAAACTAGCGCATCAACACCTAATGTCCTAATTGTGGACTTTTTTGCTTTTTATACAAAGTCATCTGATTTGTGAGAAAAGGCTAGATTTTCTAAAGCCTGAAAACAGAGCCAAGAGGAAAGTATAGGTTTTCCTGAGACGACTTGAATTACAATACACTAAAAGGTTAGTATGGCATCCTTGTGTATAGTATCAAAGATATAGGTTCTAATTCCTAACTGGAAGTGTGTGACAGTCCTCACCTGATGGTGTCTATGTCTTGAAGAGCCTGATGGATGAGGCGAGCCATGGGTGTAAAACCTGTGCCTGCTGCTAACAGGTAGAGGTTTGTGGCATCACGGAGGGGACGTAGACTGAAGGTACCCTCTGGACTACTAACGGATATGTGGTCACCTTAAAGAGTAAATAAGTAATACAATAGCTTACACAGTGCTCAAATTAAAAATGAGGAGTAACAGTGCAAACATCAGTAAAGTTGAAACATTTCCAAAAACCACTGACAATATAGAGTTCTTGGGGGTATTGACATTCAGTAACATTTGGTTCCTACTTTTGTATTGATCAAAGTAAAGAGAAAACATAAAAAACTGTAATTTAATAACATTTAGATGAATACATAATACAGGGACAAGTCTGTATGTGAGGTACAGAGCAGTTTCAGACATAATCACACACAATCACACCTCAAACAAAATGCCACAACAGACAGCAAACAAAGAAAAATCACATTAGTATTAGGTAACATTTCCAGGACAGCTACGATGAAAAATAATCACTACAGAGCTCATATAAGGTGCCAGGGTATTGAGACAGCTCCATAAGAGCAGAGAAGCAGGTGTATTTGCGACTCATTTTAAGGTCAGAGCAATCTGTCTTGTGTAAATAGCAACTGCTGTGTTTCAGTTCATTTCTGTGTCCGTCTATAGGTCACCCGGATTACTTCAGTGCTCAGAGCTGACCACAATCACTGTTGTTAGTTACAATTATTAAAAAGACTTGAACAATAAAATTTGGTCCACTGTTATCTGTGTATGAGTGAAACCTGATGCATACTCAGATTGTGTAGGTAGCTGGACTTATTCAAGCAGAACTATTTCTAGTCATTTAAATGAGGGACATGCACATGACTGAGACATATGACTCAAACAACTCTCGTGTAAATCTGCCACAGATTTATTGCTCTTCGTCATTTTTTAGCTGACTAAAGCCAGGAGGCACATATGTCCATTAGGGCTGAACAACTGGTCTCAAATGGAAATAGCAATTAGAAATAATGCAATTGGTAAATCACTATACGTGTTCACAGGATCAATCAATATTTTGCTTCACATTCATTGTGTATGTGAATTGCCCCACATCGGAGTTTCGAGCAATCACTTTTTGTTGAGTTTTAGATCACATCGTTGATCAATATTAGTGATTGAGTTGGTTCAGCTGTTATTTCATATATGTAGGAACAATCAACAGCAATGAATGTGAAATGTCCTTGTTCTACAAACACAGAATGTAAAAAAAAAAAGCTATTTGTATTGTCCTAAAAGCATGTTCTGTATCTCATAATAAGTATTATTATTCTCTGAAACACTAAGGAAACTATCAAACTGTGCTGAACACATAATCATAAAACAAACTTATCTGACATGGAATTATTCCACCCCACAGATAGACAAAAAAAGGAGAAATATGAGGGGGTGGGGCCAACCAGTTTGACTCTCCAGTGAGGCAGAGAACCACAAATAAATAAAATCACAGCTTAAATTAATTAAATTCAATTAGGTTCAGTATTAAGACATGCGTGGAGTTTGCATGTTCTCCCCGTGCAGCGTGGGCTCTCTCCGGGTTCTCCGGCTTCCTCCCACACAGTCCAAAAACATGTTGAGGTTAATTGGTGATTCTAAATTGTCCGTAGGTGTGAATGTGAGTGTGCTTGGTTGTCTGTCTCTAAGTGTAGCCCTGTGATAGACTGGTGACCTGTCCAGGGTGTCCCTTGCCTTCACCCTGATTCACCGGGGATAGGCTTCAGCCTCCCACGACCCTAGTGAGGATAAGGGGTGTGTAGATAATGGATGGATGGATGGATGGATTCAGTATTATTTATATAATGCATATGTCACCTTAAGGCACTTTACACAGTAAGATGGAGAACAGAAAGAAACCCAACAAATCCAAACATTACACAGTTTAGGATTAGTGGCTGTGTTAGCCAATGTGGGCTGTGTTTGAATTAATAAATGTATAAATTGTGTCATTGGTCTGACTGATTTGAACTGTAGGCAGCCAAAATGTTACAACTTATTATCATTATTATTGTTTTGTGAACCGCTTCCATATCAAACAGTAAAACAATGAATGAAGCATTGCCCCTGTCTGAGAAAGAAACATATCAGTGTATGAGCAGACAGCTACTGCCTTCTTTTTTATTAGGACGTAGGAGGATTTTTCTAAAACACTGATGTATGATAGTACAAAAAATAACTTCAGTACTACATTTCACTTGAACAGTCTTGACCTACAGACAGCCTAATCATTGACTTCTTTTCCTTCTCACTACTGCAGTCGATGACTTTTTCACAGCTCTGGCGGTAATGAAGTGTTTCCAAATTTAGCTGAAAAAGTGGTCAGTAAAAGCAAGCGCCACTGGCAATAAGATTCAATGCTTTAAAATGGTTTTCCATTCTGCTGACAAAATCTGAGACCAAAGTGCATTAACAGACCATGAGCCTGAAAGTCTTGCACTCTCACAGCAAGATTTCATCATCCTTCTATAATCTGTTTCTGCTGCATTTTGTTATTTATTAAATAAACACACTAATGGAGAAGTATAGATGGCGAGCGGTAGTTTTGGGATCAATAACTTAAACTTGACATAGTTAGCATCTAGCTGCATTTATATAGTTATTCTAGAGTTAGTAATCAAGTCATAATGTACATCCAGTATGTAGTTTTACATTATTACCTTTAATTTTAATTTCCTCTGCAGTTAAATAAATGCAAACTATTGCATCTTTAATGTAATTGGCATTCTGTTACACTACAATGAGCTAATAGTCATTACTACTTATTATTATTATTACTTGTTTCGGACTGCTGAAGCTTATAGGGAATCCAAATGTTTTGGATTGTTGGGTGTTTCTGTCTCTGCCTTTGTGAAGCGCTATGAGATGACTTGTTGTTGTAAATATGCGCTATACAAATAAAATTTAATTGAATTGAACTACTAAATTTATGAATGATTCGTTTTTGTCTAAACTGACATAACTAAGCTGCCGTCTGAGCTCTCCTTCAGGACCAGGTTACACTAGAAAAACGGTTCATGAGGTGACCCCACTGCAATTCAGATATATTTGGAGTTCTAAATGGCCACACTGGAAGGTATGGCAGTGAGAGGACGGATGAGACGTCGATTAAATATTGGGATATCAGCTCATCATCTCTCCTGAAAGGCTTTCAAGGTGTTGCACTTAGTTGCTTACATAAAAAATGATTTGTGAAAAGAATGCAGTAACAGAGCATAAGACCATACCCTCCTTCAGCTTCACTCCCAGAATGCAACTGGAGGGGAGTATCAGACCCTGACTGTAAAATGCCACCTTACTAAATTACACACACTAATTACATTACATTACCGACTGTGTGGGGGAACTGACAAATGCATGACACTAACCTGAACCCAGTCTCTCCTCCTCTCATCTTACCCTACATACACTTACACAAATACATAGAATCATGGCATTGCCTGGCTATGACTTACCGATATGCAGGGTGTTGAGATGTGGGGTGAACACTCCATCAGGGTAGACTTTGATCATGAGGTAGAGGTCTGATTCCTGTAAGGAGTGTTGGGATGGTCCTGTCAGATTCTGGTCCACTGGAGTGTATGGCCTCACTACCTCAGTGTCTACACACAGACAAGAAAATAGTTATACTTGTAAATATTTTAACACAAACACATACACACACATTAGTCAATTGTGTTTGCATATTCATTTTTATTCAAAATAACGAACATATGAAGAAAAACACTCAAATTACACATTTCATTTTCATATCTAAATTATAATTTAAACATTACTTAGAACTAATGTCCAAGACGCATAATAATTTTAAACAATACATTTTAAATTTCACATTGACAGGGATTCAGATAAAAGCGAGCCACAATATCTGCATGTCTCAAAATAATTCTAAAGCCATCATAATGCACAGGCACAATAATGTAAACAGTGAGTTCACATTTGTAGCCTTACTTGCTGTCAGTCCAACAGATGTTGGGCTGTGTTTTCTGTGAAGCTTCACATATGCTTAATGAAAGAATATTGGTACATATTCTGAGCTCGTATCAGGGCAAAAGCGCCTGAATACTATTTTAAGGCAGACTAACACCAAGGAGATTAGGTATCTCTGGATGGACTTAAAATCAGAGCGTTACAAGCAGTAGCTTTGGGGACTGTTGTACTTCATGGTTGAGAATGATGAAGAAGCATACTCTCTGATATGAGCGCTGGCCCTGGTAGACAGTCTAACAATGTCCTTATCCACTGAATCAGTGTACTATACTTTAGCTGTAGACGAGTATACTGTACGCATATGTACTGCACTTGCACTTCACAACTGAAGGTAGCAACATTGACGTTTTCCACCCTGCCTGATATGCAAAAGTTTTTTTCAACAACTCAAGTGAGCACTAGAACATATAGAACATTCTCTGGCCAACTCCATGGTTCCTTACCTTGAATGAGGGCTTTGAGGTAGACATGTTTTCCAACAGGCACATGCATGACAGTCCCACGTGGTAATTGCAGTCTGAACACATAGGTGTTATGGTTCACTTCAGTCTTAGACACCAAAACACAGTCCCGATAGAAGACAGCTGTTCAAAGGAGATGAGTAAAGCATGCCCATTATTTAGCTTTTTTCTTATGTCCCTGAAAAGCAAGCAAATGCCAGGATGTGGAGGAGGCTGACTACAAAAGCCACCTCATACATTAGGTAAACCTGAAAACTTCAGTGAAATTCTAACATAAATGTGCATGTGTATTTACTGCAAATTAAAAAAACACTGTTGTTATTTTTTTGTACAATGTGTCATTATTGTCTTGTACCTCTAAATTATTACTTGGTATGATTAGCATTCAAATAATAGGACACATCCACAGTGGAATGACTTCTTTGATCTAGACTCTCACCTCTGTCTTTTTTGCGTAGAAGTGTATTGTGGAACTCCAGTGGCTGACCAAGACTTGCCCATTTTCCTTTTGCCTGCTTGCGTATACTGACCTGAATTTTTCCCACTGAGTTAGCAGTGTGTACTGTTGACGAAAATGACAGCTTAAGAATAAGAACAAGACAATGAACCTAAACACACATTTTGTGGATGTTTCTAAAAAATATTGTCTTACCAGCAACACTTCCCTCAACTTCATCAGCAAGACCTAAAAGAGCATGAAAATGTATTTAATATGCATAAACATAAAATTGTGTACAATGTGTCCATGTCTTAACACGTGTTTTTGTCTATATTATGTCTGTAGTGTCTGTAACTTGTCTAGAAGTATACTGTAAAAGCAACATTCAGATGTAGTTTTGAAGCCATATTGCAGTAAAACAAACAACAAAAGCCCTTCTCACTCGAAAATGTGTAGGAGGGCAATATTAGGAAAGATCTCTCAATACAATGCAGTCTAACACTATGCCACAAACAGATGCCTTTAAAATAGACATATTGTAAATAAATAAAAATGTAAGTTGTGTTTCTTGCAGGATCGTAGTTGATTACATTACACTCTATGCTAGGTGACAGAAACACACGCTTGAGTCTGTATGTGCTATATCATATTAAAAATGTCACGATTATTGTGCTGCTGTCTTCAGCTGACTTTGGGAATTTAAATTTACAGTGTCAGCCAAAGGTTTGGATGACTTCATTCAAGAATTTTGCTTTGACTCTGTTGTTTTCTTGTTGTAGATTAAGACTGAGGACACCAGATATGGAATTATGTAAGAAGCAAAATAATGTGTCTAATTTGAGATTCTTCAAAGTAGCTACATTTTTCTTTGGCGACAACTTTGTATTCGTCATTCTCTCAACCATAGGTGTCCCCTACCTTCGCCCTAAGTCAGCTGGGATAGGCTCCAGCCCTCCAGCAACCCGAGGGAGGATTAAGCGGTGTATAGATAATGGATGGATTCTCTCAACCACCCTCATTAGGGCACCTCTAGCTTTTCAACAAGTTTTGAAGAAGTTCTCACATATGTTAATCACTTGCTTCTGCATCACAAAGGCCTGACTTGCGCCAAAAGAAGTTGGATTTTAACTTCTTTGACCAAAATGAGATTTCCACTAGTCTAATGTCCTCTTATTGTGTGTTAGGTCCAAATGTCTCTTTTTTTATTGGTATCCTTCAGTAGTGTTTTCTTTGCAGCAGTTTCACCATGAGGGTCTGATTCATGCAGTCTCATCCATACAGTCAGTGTTGAAAAGGTTATACCATAAACTAGGTGCTGCTGATAACGTTAGCAGCCGTATGTGTTACCAGACTGTGTGCAGCAGCCTCTGCGGTTTCTCTCATGGTCACAATGTCAGCAAGAGACAGGCGCAAAGTACGCCAACAGACGCACAGACAACTATATCTGAAGCTTTTCAGAGAAACAGAAAATAGGGCAAAAACTGACAATGACGTCCTCCCAAGACACTTGGATGAAGTGAGTGCATAACACAATATTACTTCTTGTAAATTCTGACTACTACATTCACAGACATCATGTTAAAAAGTTAGTCTTTTAATGTATGCTGTAATATTGTACTTAATAACAGAAATGTCTTTTTAATTACTTGAAAGCTTTATCCCAATTCTTTTCAATCAAAGAGCTGATGTCAAAATACACTCATTTACAAACTTATTTGTTGCTGTGAAGATTTGTAGAATTTCACTATTGGTACAGACTACCACATTTCTAGTATTGAGACATTCCTACCTTTCACTGAAGACAAAATAATACAATGTAGAGGGCCATTACACTACTCACATAAATGTATCATGTAGGACATTTTGCCCAGTAGTACTTCCATTCGTAGAACACGTGCCTCAAGGTCAACAATGGTACAGCCTGACTTGGGGATCTGACAAAAGAAATAACATGCATGTTTTTTTCAACCTTTGATTCAGCCAGTTTGTAACCTCGTCCATCAGATGCTAGCAGTGTAGCTGTTAGAGGCATTAAAGCACTCATCAAAAGTTCAGATGAATTACATTCGATGAATAGACAGAGAATGGCATCCCAATCATTATCCCCTCAACCCTTGCAACAGTCAGAGGGACAAAATTAAATTTAGCAACAGTCAAGGTTTCCACCAAAAAAATTATTTGAACCAGCAATTTGGACTGCCCAGCAAGGGACTAGCGGGGAGCCCAGTATGTCTAATGACCACTACAGCTTACTTTATTTTAGATAAATGTATTTATTCTTTGAAGATGTACAATAAATTACAAAAAGCGCTCCTCCAGTTTTGAAAAACATTGTGAGGTCTTTGAGCCACAGTGATTTCCATTCCAACAGTATTATTCTGCATGCCAAAAAGAATTCAAAGGCAATATTGTAATTTGCTTTGTTTTTTTAACTCCCAACCCAAGTGCCATGTTTGACAAGGTGCTCCCTGACAGTGCTCTCAATCAGCAAAGATGCTGATTGGGAGCAACCAAAAATGTTAGCAGTCTGTTCCTCACCACCATCACTTCCAGTATTTGGCCATCTGAAAAAACTCTCTAAGGTGTTTTGGCTTTTGCGTTTCCTCCTTAACATTTACCCTAAATGTCACAAACTGAAAGTACCTGTGTTACTGTCTGTTTAACTAGCCAGCTAATGTTGCCGCAGACGTTAAGTGTTCAACACTTAAGCATTATTGACGTGTTTTCCATTTTCATTTTTCAACTGGGTCACTCCACTGTAAATCTACCTTAAAGAACATTTTATATAAAAACACTAAAAACAGGTCCCAATGCAGCAGGACGTCAACTCAAGCGCAGGGTGCTGCCACGCTTGCAATACACTTAAGCCTGCTTTGTGATTTATCCTGCAGAAAGAGGCAGCACGTGGGACATGTGAAAAGGGATTTCAGGGTTTTGTTGTCATGCTTGGTCTCTGTCTTGTAGCATAGATGTGCATAAGGATTACCTTTCTTTTAGTATAAACAACCAGATGAACGGTCACATCAGTTTGGAACCAGTCGTACCTACACCAGCAACAGACAGCAGAAAATAATGTCACTGTACAAGGTTTTTTATGTGGCTGTTTGTATTAGATTTGTTTCTGATTGTACTGTCTTTACCGAGGCCGAGAGTCTTTCTCTGGTGGAAGAGCCACTGAAGTAGGTGGAGCAAGGCCAGTTGGTGGTGGAGGAGGGATGATAGCTGAAATGAAGAACAGACAACAAAAAATCACCAAAGTTTTATCCAACATTGAGTGTAAACTGTCAATACACTTACTGGTATAAAGCCTGAAGGCAATATTGGATTTCTCAACAAATTGTAAATTCTACAAATTAATTAGACTAATTTCCAGGCAACCACTGCTTTTTTTTTCTTTTTTTTTTTTTTTTTTTACTTATTTTTATACTATGAAAATCTCATTGCTGTTGATAAAAATTGAACTGAGTTTTGAAGTGCTACACAACAACTTGTTGTGATCATTGTGATACCAAAGTCAGGTCCTCATTCTTTAGCAATCCAGTTTTTGTAAGCAGGGATTGTTTTGAAATATCTTTCTTGCAGTTCTGTGTAAGCATAACAAACGCTGACATCTTTTCTCTTTTAAATCTTTCATTTGTCAATTTTCACTCAGGCCCCATATATATGAAGAATCTAAGAGCAGGAAATAAACGTCCCAAAAATTCTTAGAATGGCACATGGTGCATCTTGTTTCAGGACTAGAAAAAACATTTATCAACTTTGCTCACGTAACAATCAACTCATATTTCCACTAACAGTTCAGGAGAGCTTCAGTGTGCTGAAGGTTTTTTTTTTGTTGCATATATCAGTAAATTTGCTACTTGCATTATTTACCTTTACTGAAGTACTAGGACTAAGTGACAGAAACCACAATATATTATGGTAATATCTACTCTGCAGCCGAACACTCTTTCTTCTGAGTCATTCTGCTCCCTCTGATAGTAAGAGTACAAAGACTCATCATCCATCCATATTCTATACACTGCTTTATCCTCTGTAGGGTCACGGGAAGCACCAAGACTTTAAAAAAAAAAAAAAAAAAAGTCCTTCTCTGGCTGTGTATATTTATATGTGTTTTTATGATTTGGTAAGCCTTCAGGAAATGCAAGAAAGTCAATGTAATGAACTCTGGAGTGACGAAAACATGGCCTTGTGTGTGTATACCTTTAACAGCCGTGGTGGCCTTAGTGGCCATTCTGCCCACCAGGCACTCTTTCAACATGGATTCATAGTTCACCCAGCGATGGACCTGCTCACAAACACACATCACCACAGCAGTGTAAGTAAACTCATCAAGCCACCCATTCCCACATTGGCAGGATTACAAAACACATCAAACTCTGCAGTCCTCCCAGTGTCCTAAGGCTTGTTTTCACTTCAACTGAGCCTTTTCAGAACATGTTTTGTACACTGTTTGGGCAGGCATACCTATTCACCCGCTATTGGAGGTTTTCCCCTTTCATTGTGTGTCAACACTGAATAATGGTTCATTTAATTAGGCTTTTTGGACAAGAATTTACAAAAAAACTCTTTCAGGTCAAAGTGAAACCAGATTTCTACAACGCAATGATCAATTGATTGAAAACATAAAACGTAAAAGTAAGTGATTATATAGGGCGCCCCGGTAGCTCAAGACAGCGACCCATGTACAGGAGCTATAGTCCCCAACGCAGCAGACGCGGTTCGAGTTCAGCCAGCGGCTCATTTGCTGGATATCTTTTCCTCATGTTTCTCCATCTCTCTACACTGTCCTGTCCAATAACAGCAAAAAGCCCAATAAAATAATCTCTAAAAAAATAAGTAATCATATAAATATTTACCTTCTTGCTGTGGCGTGCCTAATCCAACACAGGTGCTGTCAATTGGTGCTAGAATTCAAACATTTAGTAAAACAGAGATCATCTGATAGCAGTGAATGTGTCTCAAGTGGCTGAAGTGACTGAACAAGAAAGAGACAAGTGAGGGAGGCCACCAAGACACCTATGAAGGAGTAACAAGCTTCAGTGGCTGGAATGGAAGAGACTGTTCATACACCAATTGAGGACCAAGTTTATAAACTGCCAAGGCTCTATGGAAGTGTAGCACATAGAAAGCCACTGGTGAAAACAGACCACCACCATTCCAAACCATCCCTATCGCAAGCATGGTGGTGGCGGCATTATGATGTGAGATGGCAGCAGCCCTAGAAGACTTGTAAAGGTAGGGGTGAAATGAATGTAGCAAAGCGTAGAGAAATCCTGGAAGACAACCTGATGCAGTTTGCAAGAGAATTGCAACCTGAAAGAAGATTTGCTTTCCAAAAAGACAAAAACCTAAAACGTAAAGCTAAGCCTAACCAGAAATGGTTTAAATACAAGGTGAACATTCCGGAGTGGCCAAGTTAGCGCCCAGACCTCAATCCAATTAAGAATTTGTGACTGAGCATGAAAAGAGCTGTTTGCTTACAAACCTTGTGTACCCTGACAGAGCTTGAGCAGTTTTGCAAAGAAGACTGAGGTACAATTACAGTCCCCAGATGCACAAGAGCAATCGAGCCTTATCCACACATGGTAAATGTTGTGATTGTATCTAAAGGTGCATCTACTAAGTTATGACTTGAAGGGGGTGAATATTTGATCACCTATGTTATGTTTTATACGCTTAATTAAAAGACATTACTTTGCAAAAATCTGTTTCACTTTGACATGAAATAGTTTATTTATTTAAATTCTTGTTAAAAAGTGAAATCATATTGACCATGATTTAACGTTGAAAATCGATAAAAGGGAAAACTTCCAGGGGGCGAATACTCTTCTCTTCATTGGCACTGTATGATGAACACATCAGCATGAATACGGAAACAAACTGCAAACTAGAATAAAGATTTAAGATAATATGCTTCTCCATCTATCCAAACTTAAAACATATCTAAAGTGAAACCATTTTTAACATTTAAAAACCTTGTTAACTGACTAACTTGTGTCTTCAGAAAGGCCTGAGGAGCAAACATAGAGCTGATAGGCAGAGAAGCTACGACTATGAAACGATCCTACAGTTTCTTCATTTAGTCCCTAGAATTGGAGAACTGCACATGACTTTAAAGAGTAACTTAAAAATGACAGTGCTTTACTTTCCTCATCACCGTCCATACCTGATCAAACAGGTCAGTGCCATCTCTTCCTGCTGCCTTCATCAGCTCTTCTTCTCCACCAGGGTGGTAGTCCATGTAGGGGGTCACATTGTAGACCATATCTGAAAAGATACGGAGAAACAAAATGAGTTTTATGTATACCATGTTCCACTTCCTTGTGCAGACAGAAACTGATACCACCACAGACAGTTGTGTCAGATGATGAAACTAATATGATTATTAATTGTTAATTTATTTGCCTGCCTGTAAAGCAGGCCATCACATAAATAAACAAAGTACTCCTGAGGATGCATCAGAATCAACCTCACACACACTGGTGAGCTCAAAAATGGCCACCAAAGTGGTGGACCACAGAAGCCATGTTTAAGAAATGATAGAAAACAATGGAATTCAGATTCTGATTCAGAATGCTTTATTGCCATTCATGCAAATTACATCAAGGATGCACTGCAGAATGAAATGACAATGCAGGGTCAGCGATAACAACACACACAATTCACATAAAACACACACAATTCCAGCTGTCCACCAGATAAAATGTGTCAAAGTTTCTAATCACCAAAAGACTACATTGGCATAATTTATTACAAAATCATATACAAAATAATTAATTTTACTTTAACTTGTCACTTGCTTGTTCCCCATTATCAGAATTAAATGGTTCAAGTACCCTGTGAAATCAAAAGTGCTAGAAGACAAAGCCAACACAGTAAAAATGTCTCCAATACCAGTATGAGTCACACAACGTCCTTTAATCAACCAAAAAAATGTGTCTCCAGTAAACTTTGATTTCACAACTACTACACCTACCCTTATAGAGCCCTTATAAGCTCCATCTTCATTGTCTGAGTACACAGGGGATGTTATGTAACCCTGTGGGGAGTTGCACATATTTTTCCTTCGCTGCTGCTTCAGATCTTGTATTACACTACATAGAAGTCCAAGCCATATGACGAATAAGCAAGGTAAATTACATCATTCTTACAGCACAACCTGAGCATAACCCTAGCTCTCTAATTCCACTGTATTAAAGAATGAATCAAGCCACAACCATTATCAAGCTGACATCAAGTATCATCCAGTTTCTCTAAATACTATGGCTCCATTGCAGATCCTTAATGTATTTCTTTGCATTCCTAACCAGACCTGGTCTCCTGCAGTCTCACCTCGAATGCAGGTCCAGCAGTCATCTCTTGTGTTGTGTTTCTGCAGTTCTTCCTGGGTAACTTCAATCAGGCGTCCTCTGAGCCCGGTCAGATCTTTTCCACTCTTGGAAAACCGGATCCAGTCCATCAGACTGTGGCCAGGTTTCAACGCCACCTTATCAGACAGAGTCGATAAAGGAGCATAAGCTTCACATGTATTTGTCTCTGGAGATGTGTGAAGGAATGTAAGGACAAAATAATAAATAAAACATGACAGAGTCATCTTGTGTCCGTGTGGCTGTAGAATACTGTCTATGCAAGTTAGTAATGCTTCTATTATCCTAAACTGACCTGTCATTATGTTACATGTATAATTAAGTAAAAGATTTAGCTAACGCCAGACAGGAACTCCCTTATACTAGATTATGCACTTCTGTCATCTTACGCCAACTTTATGTCAAGTTTTTGGAAAAGAGTCAAGTGTAGAGATAACTGTGTCATGACAGCTGGCTGTCAAATGGTGAGGGTTACCTTGTTCCTCCCGGACTGGCCGGATGGAGCGACCCGCTGCTGGGAACTCGGAGCAGGAAAAGACTGGGTTGGTATGTTCAACATGTTGTGGACGCTTCGGAGGCAGCCCCAGTTTCGTACAAAACCTATTAAGTTAGTGGAGGTTTACCACAATAACACATAAACGGCGGTTTTGCTTTTACACTGGTTTCATGGTGTCACCGATACAAGCTACTTCCTTGTTGCGATACATCTCTTCTCAGAACTGTGTTAAGCAATGCTGCTTGGGCTGGAAGGTTAGGCTAAGCTAGGCTAACACGACAGACGAACTGACGACCGTACTCATAAGAGTAAATTATAAACCGTCAAATAAATTTCGTTAAAGTTAATATTTCCAGAGTTACTTAACCAGCAAACTGAATAGTTACTCGATTTCTAGTGGTTAAGTAAGAGTTATCTCCTGCCATTGAGGTTCCGTCACTGTGTAGACTACAAGAATTGTCGCACATTTTGACGACATCGTCAACAAATGACGAAATCAAACTGCGACGGTCGTCCACTGGCTGGTCGTCTTTCTCGTGTACTTTCTGGTGTTCTTGCTGGTTGTACTGCAAGCAATGACAGCATTTACAAAGGCGGCAGAGGTAAAACGTTAGTGAAGCAATGTCCTTTGACAGTCAAAATATTCTTGTGTCACCGCTATCATTTTTGGCATGTCATAAAAGAAGCACTGTAGTCATAAATAGCCTACAATAATTCGCACACAATATCAGTAACGGCGGCATAATATTTGTTTTCGTGTGTGCCAATTCCCAAGATCCGGTAGAGTGTTAGAGTGTTGAGCATGCAGGCTCACTGTCTTTCGTAATTTAAGTATAAGAACATAAAAACTGCCAATAACCCACCTGAAATTAAACTGTTGAAAAAAATGATAAAGGATGAACCATGTGGTCTTCCACTCGATCCACTTTCACTGTCGTCATCATCCTCCTCCTCTTCTGAATCTTTCTGGTTTTCATCTGACATTGTGGAAACATAGTATCTAACAGAGCTCCATATTATTCATTTATAGTGTGACACAGGAGGCCCTACCTCTGACATCCATCACAGCAACTGACGGGTTTGCTTTTGAAAGGTTAATCTGTTAAGAGGATTCCTGGACAAGTCCTTTGAGGTCCACCCACACCTAGTCCTCAGTAGATTTCCTGTACCGAAAGGAGTTTTGTCAGTACGTATAAACATCAAACAGCACATGTTCATGGACAATAATTTAGAATGTCATTGCAGGAAAAGCACATGTGGAAATAACAACAATAATGACAACCATGTTCCATTGAGTGTTCCAGTGAACGCTTTCGTGATCCTTCATGCACAATACCAGGACGTAAAAACTGTTCCAACTAAGTGAAATACAATCATCATCAAGGACAACTCCCACCCTGGTTCTGACATGTTTGACCTGCTGCCCTCAGGGAGGCGCTACAGGTGCATCAGAACCAAAACAAACAGACTCAAGAACAGCTTCTTCCCAAAAGCCATCACCACTCTGAACTCACACATGCACTGACATCACAGTCCACCCCAGCCCCCCAATCTACCTCACATCCACCTACTGTAAACTCTATTTAAATGTGCAATATCATCAATGACTATGCTGTGCAATATTTTTCTAAATTCATACTGTACATATAACTTATACTGTATACTGTATATGTAACTTATCTTATTTTGTACTTAAATCTCTTCTATTTTTTATTTTTTTGCTCTTTATTTTGTACTTTATTCTATATTGCACTGAAGGAGTTGCTCTTAATCTCATTGTACATGTGTATAGTGACAATAAAGGCATTTTATTCTATTCTATTCTATCCTTATTAAGAATTACATCTGTTCTGTATCTCCTTGAAAAGGGTGTATGAACAGAAGTTATGGTTACTGAATGGATGATTCAGAAGCTGTCCAGTATTTTTTGCTACTGCATCCAGAATATCTGGACACAGTACAGTGTCACATTTTAAACCCAATATTATGCCCCTCTCTTTGACATACTTTATATTGTTTTTTTGTTTGTTTTTCTCCTGAGTTGCATTTAAATTTCTACATCCCTTAGGCTGTGATGATCTTATGGTAGTTCCATCTTGGCATCTTTTGGTGGTGCCTTGGAGATCTGAGGAGGGACAGCATTTGAATGATTTTAAAGTTCTCTGACATGCATGTGAGTTTTCTATCTGCAAAGTCAGAAAAGTTTATTGAATTCTAAGGGAGACTGGTGGTGTTGCATTTGATTGGGCCAAAGCCTCCATTCTTGAAGCAGCTGTTTGGAGTTAAGACCAGAAGGTTAAAAATATTTTGGCAAAAAAGTAAAAAGTCTGTAGCAACCAACTAAACAACTGATGGACACAAGAAATGGTCATGCTGAAAAGCAAAACTATTAAGTCTATGCAAGCACAGAAGTCTTACAGTCGGACAGGGACTTCCACAAATTAGAAAGATGGCAGATTATTTCATCTAGCTTCAAAGAAATTCTTGAGAACCATCAAATGAAACCATCAAATGATGCAGGAAGTTCTATTAATTCATTAATTCATGACAAAACCATCTTTTATGGACACCAGAGCAACTTCAGATATTTTCATTTCAACACAAATGTTCATGTGTTCAAACTGTAAAGATATTTTTGTTGGTTATTAACTTTTTGTCCAAAAACTCAAACTCAGAAAACAACATTTATTTAGTGAATTTGTCAAAATTTCTAGCATTTTTATTGGTAATGTTGTTGCTGTCCTAATATTCTGATCTTTTCTGCTGTGCTGAAATTGCTATTGTAAGCAACCAGAACCCAATTTGAGTTACCAAAGTTTAAGCATCCAGTGTCATATGTTTCTCTGTGCATCTTCCTGCAGATGGCAGCAAACATCAACAGTACTGACTCAATGGCCAACATTTTTCTCAGTTTTGAATGGTGTTTAGTTACCTCCCACAACACATAACAGGAGGACAGACTGAGTAATTTCCTGTAACTGTTGGACACTGCACATATAAAAAGCTACGCTTTTCAATCATTTTGGCAAGAGAGATAACTGCTCTCAATAATCACTCTGGATGAGACTAGAGCACTAGATAGTGTTATGTTTGTTCATTTCTATAGTGATTCCATCTATTTCAGCTTGTCTTTTGTTGAATGCTATGCAAAGTGTGTGTTTCTTCCCTTTTCATCTCTGTATTGTGTTGTATTTCGGGGGCATTTTTTCTAATCTGTATGTCATATATTGTATAGTTCAGAGGCAGATTTGTGATTTGTGCTGTTGGTCTATATAAATAAAATTTGAATTGACTCACTTAACATTTGCCTTGGCTTGTTTTCTACTCTCTCTCTCTTGCTCTCTCTCTCTCTCTCTCTCTCTCTTTTGTCACTCCACACATCTCTTCCCCTCTCGCAGCAGATCCAGCTGAGGGGCAGATAATTACAATTTCAAAACCATTTGCCAGATCATTACCCTAATCCCAGGTTTGGTCTGATGAGTCACGCGCCTCATTTGCCACGGTGCAGGGCAGCTTGGGGCCCTTTCACAAACACTGGCCAAGGACCACCAGCCTGCCCTGTGGGGCCACCGGACCACTGGGGTTGAGGTTCGTGTCGTATGGTGTTGAGCCATTACTATCAGGGATCCCAGCAGAGAGGAAAAAAGAAGAAGAGTTAAGTGTTAAGAGTAAATTTAGACAAGATCTTAAAATATCATTTAGCCTTGATTTTTTCCTGAAAAGAGTGTTTACAATTTGACTTATTGCTGTCATTATCTTGTCTAAAGCATTGCTCTTAAGCTGTAATTAAATGAGTAGTAAAAGTCCTTTCATTTCATTACGCTGTACACATACTCTGTCCATATATGGTTAACCATTTTACACAATACATACTGTAATGTTGTTTCCCTCCACTCTCTCTGTTAAGCAATACAATGGCAAAAGAGTAACAGTAAAATCTATTTCACTTTGTGCTCTACTGTGAAAAACATTCGTTACATTTTTCTTTTTTTAATGTTTTATAAATCCTACCATTTTCTTGACACTACTGCAGTTACCTGTCATATTCTGCCTTTTCAACACTCCTCAAACTATCCCCTTATCTCATTTTGCTAATTGCACATCCTCAATTCCTTTCCTTGACTCCTCCCCTCGCGTCTTAGTCGCATAGAGATTCGATTAGAGGAGGCAAGGAAATGTGAGGAGAGGAGTTGAGGAGGCTGAAAATAGTGAAATGAGATTGGTCTTATATCTCTCCAAAAAGGGAGGAAGAAATCTTGTATATTGACCTAAAGATGGCAGTGTTGTTTGAGTTTTCTAATGCCTGAACCCAGAGACAATAATACAGAAATGTGCCTGTTTGGCCTGTTGCCACTGTCAGGTGGCACAGCTGATTACTGGTTTAGTTCAGAGCAATGTTTTCTTTGATATTGGAGGGTTTTGATAACGACAAGATTGCAGGTGTAGAGGTACCTGAGGCAGCTGATGACAAGGAAGTTTTTGTGCTAGACATGAATCAGACCATTAAAAAGCACATCTGGGGCATTAAAATGATGAAGCCATCAAAGCACAACTGTCAAAATACATTGATTTAGTGGCCCCAAGAGAAGCTGCAATTGATGAGGAAATCTCAAATAGTTCCCTTAGCTGTCTTGACCCTGCTGCTACAATGCAAAATTAGTTTTCCAGGAAAGAAATTGGCAACTTGTGAAGCAGAAAAAATACTTTCATATATCGAGCTATATTAATCTGCGGCAACATTTTCTAAAACAAGATGGAGGCACACACACACACACACACACACACACACACACACACACACATTCTGGAGATTCCTCATCTTTCCAGCCAAACTGCAAATTTGGATTTGGTAAATGTCACTATATAATTTCCACTGGGCTGCTGTAGAAACATGAAATATATCAATGAGATCTTGGGGGAAAAATGTCAGACATCTGTAAGTAACTGTAAATTTTACAAATTATATAAAGGTGTATTTTGTGTTTATTATTATTTTTTAAAATACTTTACTGTGAAAAGGTTGTAAGCAAAATCATTTAAATATATAAATTACTCTGCTTCATAGAACTCTGAAAACCTGAGATCGGTGACATCTTCTGTTTGAAGGTCAGAGCTTCACTAATAAAAACTTGTACGTATACTAACAACAAATAACTGTGTTTTGTGGAAGGTGTTGTGTAGTGAAAAACTAAAAAAATCCTTACCCATCTTATTTAGGCTAGCTGTTGAATGTGATAGTAATAGAGTAAACTCAAATGCAGAACACAGACTCAAACTTGCAAAGGCTGTATCTTTTTATTGTGAGGTTCAAGGAGTGGAACTGAGGTGAAATTGAATGATGGTGATGGCAGGTGAAGGCAAAAGGCTGAAGGCAACTGATGGTGGAGTGGGCTGAAGAGGAAGTGTGGCTGGAGAGAGAGTAGCAAGCGGTCAGGAGGCTGAGCAGACAGAGCAGGGAGA